TCCAAAATGTCATTGAACAAGATCAAATTTAAACGTCGAGAGACGAAGGAGGTGGGAGATGTAGGTAGCACCAAATGTCACCGAGATAGAAACCAGTAGGTCACCGATATGGTAATCCAAAATGTCATCGAACAAGATCAAAACGTCGAGGACAATAAGTCACCAATGTCGGAGATACAGAGTCCTAATGTAACCGGTGCCAAATCTGTGATGCAGCCGAGTATGATCCCCAACAATCTCCAAGTCTCGAACCCGGTAAGTACCACAACCTCTTACCACCGAAGTCCAACTCTGATCTCTGTCCAACTAGTATAAGTCTCCAGTCTGAAGAAGAAGAAGAAGAAGAAGAAGAAGAAGAAGGAGAAGAAGATGAAGTCTGAAGAGAAGAAGAAGAAGAAGAAGAAGAAGAAGGGGGCCGAGGAGGAGAGAGAGAAAGAGGGGATTGGCGATGGGAGGGAGGAGAGAACTTCCGACTCCCGATACCTCAGGCGGCTATGGCCGCCGATATGCTCAGTCGCCGCTGCTGCTGCTCCGCTCCCTGCTGCTGCGCTAATGCTGCTGCTGGCGCTGCTCCTCGTGCTCCTGCGCTAAGAATAGCGCCAGCGCTGTCGCGTCGTACCATACCGCACCGCTAGAGTGCCGGTGGGTCGATCCCTGAAGTGAGGTCGGACCGGTCTTTTGTACCGGTGGGGCAGAGGCCGGGCTCAATGCTGCGAGGCCTGGCCATGCCCTAAACCGTCAAGATGGACGGTTCAGCCCCAACCGGTGGGCGGCAGCCTTAAGAACACCGCCAGGCCCAAACGATAATGTCGTTTGGGCCTGCCGGTCGGGTCTGGTCCAAAGTGAGGCCTTTTCGGCCTGTAGTACCCCCAAGGTCGGGCCTTTAGGCCCTACTGTGTCCCTCTGGCCCTAAGTCCGGTCCGGTAGGACCCACGTGGCGTCGAAGATGTAACACACTCCCTCTCTTAAAAGACCGAGCTACCTGCGAGGGCGGAGTTGTCTGTCCGATACCGGGG